GACAGGCTCTGAGGCGAAGGAAGTCTTGCAGTGGGCAGCGGTGAGAGCAGCCAGGCAGGCTGAGCGGCCAGGGGGCCTTGTTACTCTCATTCCGAAAGTACATCTCCACTGAGAAATTCCTGAGAGTTGATAGGAGACAAGATGCAAGCTGGTCACCAGGCCTTTAATGGAGTCCTTGGACTGCCCGCAGCCACCACGCAAGTGCCCCTTCAGGGGGCAGACTGGTAGCTCCACTCACCCATTATCTTCCTGGTACAGTTCAAATATGTGGCAGGAGGCATAGGGGGCTTGTTCACCATTGTAGACATACAGTGCCATTTGCAAAGCAACCAGGGTGGTGTCGTGCTGTAAGGGACAGGATCTCCCCATTAGCACTGCTCTCCTGCACCCCCCAAGCACTGAATAGAGAAGAAATCCAGCTCTTTGCTTGACGTTAGCATGCTGGAGAGTATGAGAGCTTACCGCAGAGTAAACCAGCAGCTTAGGGAGTTGGGAGGAGGTTGCCATCAGGGTCAGGTTTGTCCGTATCTGAGCCAGCAGGACTCCTGAAAGAGAAAAGTCCCCAGTGTCAGTGGCTGCAGCCATCACTGTCCTCTGATCAGACCTATCTGTGGTCCTTTCACTCTCTGCTAGTCCTGGGTGTGATCACCAGCACAGAGAACTCTTTAGGTACTTGTAGGAACTATATATAGCACGCCATGCTCTTTAAACAGCTTTCAGATTTACAGAGAAGCAAGATAAAACAAGTTGTTTATACTTCAACACAGATGTAGAAACCTGTCCATTTATAAATGAGCTACGAGTCCTTGCCCATGTTTGAAGAATTCTTCCAATTTGGAAAAATATAAACTTCACATTGCTTCAGAATGCACAGATGGTTGGTGGCTCCAGGCCAGGGGAGCTCTGCCATATGCAGGCTCTGAAAACCACTGAGATGTCAAAAAGGTTTGACAGCTGGCACTCCCTTGGGTGCTCAAATCAGGAACTGGCATGCATATTACTCAGCCTTTCAAAGTGGCCCCCAGTGGTTGTCTGGAGGTAGGCATTCATTTAAGGGGGAAGGGTCTTCTGACATGGGTGAAACTTAAGAATATGATTGGCAGAAAAGAAGCATGCAAACCTGATTTTGGTCATTCATACAGTGACAAACATGCTAAGCATTTGGAGAAATGGGGAGACTTTGATGACTGACCTGATGACTAGGGCGGGGTCTGGTTTTGAAAAAGCAGAGAATTTCAGATGGAAAAGTGATAAGCCCCCAATAGCAGATTTTTAATGCTGTAGGGTCCTGAGGAGGGGAGTGACATGCTGCTCTTGTCACTCACCCCCCTGAAGCCGGGCCTTCTCTGCCTGCTCGTAGATCCCGAAGAGGAAGCGGAAGCTGAAGTCCTTTAGCCGGCTCAGACGCTGCATGGTTTGGGATGAGGCCCAGGGCGGCAGGACCAGCCCGTGTGTTTTCTGCATATCGCAGTGGGCAGGTTAGCTTCCCAGGCCTAGGCCAGAGTCTCTCCCAGGGCATCTCTGTTCCCCAGTGACAAGGTGCCTGTGTGTGTGTGTGTGTGTGAAGGGAGGGAGAGGAGAGGAGAGCTGAGGCAGAGGGACTGTAACCAGGAGACAAGGTGGATAGTGTTAAGGCTGCAGGGCACAGGAAAGGAGGCTCAGGCACAAAAGCATGACTCAGCAGAATGGAGTCAGATACCACCAGTACTCTGGGTGGAGAGGGATAGAAACTGCTGACCATTAATAAACCATTTCCCACTCTGGGGTTCTTTTTCACCGCTGAGGGAATTTCCTTGTTTCATAAGAAGCAGACGACTTGCCTGGACCTCCCCAGTGGGAATGGTAGCCAGGCACTGTATTCTACTTGTCCTGGTCACCTGGGCCTGCTGAATGTGAGAACAGTTACACTGGGGACCCTAAGCAGGCTCACCTCACAGAAGAGTGTGTCATAGACATTCCAGACGGTCTCCAACGTCAAGTCCGTTAGCCCTGTCTCATTGGCCACCATATCCAGAAATTGCTATGAAAAATGGATCAGGGGATCAGTCCTGCCCTGGGAGAAAGGACAGTGTGATGACCCTCCACCTCAGCCCCACTCACTGCATTCTGAATACTCTCATTCTGATACTCTGGGGTCTGCCGGGTCTCGTTCTGCAGCTGCTCGTAACGGGGACATGGACCCAATGGGAACTTCAGCAGCTGCAGACCAAAAGTGGGAAGCAGAGGCAGAGAAGGAGTCGGTGATCAGCAGGCCCATGGCCAGAGCTGTCCCTCTCAGTGCCTTCAGGGAAGGGCTGGCCAGTCTTACCCTGTCCTCGGTGATGGGCACAGTGTGGACAGGGATAGGCTGCCAAGAGATGTTTGGGTTGAAGCGCTGCACCCCACTGGGAGGGAAGAGTCCAGCCAGGTTGGCCTCAGCACTCATGAGAGTACGGTCAAAGTCTGTGCTTCGCACATAAACCTGCAGATATGATAATATGAGTCTCACCTGTGGGTGTGGAGTTGGGGGCCTTAGGGGAGAACCTGTTCTTGATGGTTACCCAGCAAACTAATCCCACCATGCATCTGGCCCTTGCACCCTCTCTGGCCCTCCCCATCTCTCTTCCCAGCAAAGGATCAAACACTCAACTGGGGACTAGCTGTCACACTCAGAATGGCTCCTATAGGAATGGCTCCATTTCAAATGCCCCTCCCAGGCCAAAGTGCTTAGTCAGAAGGCTGGGGTCTGTCTGTCTAGTTTATAACACCTGTCTCCCTATCTAGGCCAGGATCTTTGAAGACAAAAACTATCTCAACGTACACCCCCTTTTATAAACTGGCTTAGAAACCAAAGAGAGGAAATAAGATAAGGAACAGAGATAATTGCTTATAGAAAAGGGAGGAGGAAGCTGTAGGAAAGGGCAAGATCAGGATAGAGCTGGCCCTCAAGGGAACAATAACAACATCTAGAGACTCTTGAGACAGCTATGGCTGAGTGGTAACCAGAGGAACAGCTATCCCCATCCTTGGGGTGGGTAGAGGGCCTCAAGGAGCCAGTACACTTGCCAGTCTTCCCTGACATGCCCTCTCTATGTATGTCTTCCCTGCTACCTTTATTTCTTGGCCCTGTGTGATTTATCATCTACATTCTGAGCTCCACAAAGTGGTCAGTACATTCTGAGCTCCACAAAGAGGTCAAATGCAAAGTGTTCGCATAGTGCTCGGCCCATAGTAGAGACTCGATAAGTGTCTCGGATGGAAAGCCTGAGTTATTTCAGTCAGAAACTACTCCGCCAGACCCTCCTTAAGTATGAACTTGGACGCTTGATAAGTTTTGCTTCTCTTCAGGTAAGCATGGCAACTCAGCCTTTAGGGTTTATTTTAGACAGCCCTGGGATGTCTTGTCCTGTAGTGTAAACAAAACTGCATGAAGGGAGGCCAAAGTGCCCAGCCTCACCCTTAGGCTCCCCGAGGACCAAGGGTGAGGACGGCAGATCGCATTCCGCTTGCCTCTTGAGCTCCCAGCCTTACCTCTTGACGGTGGTAAGAGGTGTTGAGAAAGCCATGGTAGCGCTGCCGCAGAGCCTGGCCCAGCTCCCAGTGCTGTAGCATCCCCTCCTATGGGCAAACCAAAGGGTTAAGAGGGTCCAGGGGAAAGGATGGCTTGCAAGTCCCACAAGGCTAAGGCACTGCTGCTTTCCAAGTTTATTCCTGGCGGGAAGTAGGAGTGGGTCAATTTGATACCAGTAGTCAATACGTAGCCAATTGTGGGTGGCATTGTCTTGGGCACAGGAAAGTAAGCTTAAGAAATCTGATCAAAGTCAGCATCTATGTGAGACGTGGCAGTTTGGTGGGGACCCAAGTTCTGTAGCTTGCTGTAGAGATTACTCATTCTACAGCTCAAGCTGAGGGAGGACTGACTTCTGACCCACCTTGGTTAGCTGACCAAACCCCTGGGGCCATTCATCTTCCTGATAGGGGTCCTTGGGATATGTCTTAACTGGTGACCGGTCTCCATGTCGATACAGCTGAGGAAAGAAAATGATTTGCCTAAAGGTCAGAAGGGTCTCCTTGATGGAGACACAGAGCCCACTTCTGCCCCATGTTGGGGAGGGCTTAATTCTACTCACTGCAAAAGACCCCAACTCAGAAGTTGGTAACTTTCTTCAGGTTCCAGAATTCATTGGCTAAGCAATGACACCGGAGACCATAAACAAAGCCAAAGGTACAGATGGTTAAGGAAAAGAGTAAAACAATGTCAATGGTGGGGAGAACTGGAAAAAAGATCACCAAGTTTCTGTAGGGGTGAGTCTCTTAACCATTCAACTATATCCCTGTTCCAGGGCAGACTCATCCGACCTAGCCCTTGATATAGAAATTCTTACCCCCTACTCCCCCGCCAAAAAAAAAAAAAAAAATCCTGGGCTCCGTATCCATTCCGAACCCGGGCCCCCAACCCCGTAGGTCAGTCGTTTCCTAAAACCAGTTTCTTCTCCAGACCTCCAACCCTAGCATAAGCACCGCCCCTCCCTCTACCAGCAAGCCCTTGCCCTTCTAATTCGAGTGAGCCTTTTGGCGACCTCATCTCTCATTACCAAGGTAACGAAGCGCAGACTCCGGGCCTGGGTGGGTGTCATAACCATCAGGTTTATGCCAAGAATCAGCTGGAGAAGAGCCGCCCGGATCCAGCCAAACTGCCCGCCCGCCATCACCGTTATAGTCTATGCAGCAAAGAGTCTGGAACCCGTTGGGCAGCACCTGCAGCAGCCACCCGGACGCACCCTTAAGGACACACGCCGGAAGTGCGCTTGCCGCCATCTTGCTAAAGGAAGGGAAGGGACCGTGCAAGGAGGAGGAATCTAGGAGGAACTGTTAGGAAACTCGTGATCTGGCCTTGGCGGATGAGTGTAGGAATGTAGCGTGACTTCACGCGTCAGAAAAGGCTTGAAGACTTTGTCTTGGTAAAGAGAGCACTGAGCTCGGGTTTGCTTCTGGTAGCGGAGACGCCGTACCAAGGTGGCGCTTGCACGGGGCCGGACTGGGGCGGGAAGAGCGAGCGCCCCCGCGGGCCCGGGTGCTGCCGGCCTGACCCCAGAGCCAGAGCGGGTGCAGAATTGGGGCGAGGGTTGGTATAGGGCGCCTCTCTCCACAGCCCTGCCTTCGAGTGGAATTTGAAACTTGGCCCTGGTTCTTTTCCCAGGAAGAGGTCTTGTTTGCGGTGCAGGGCACAGCGTGTAAACAGCCCTTTGGACTCCCTATGTCCTTCAGGTTGGTCTCAGTTTAGCATACTGCTCATGCGCTGAGCAAGGCTTCAGTTCTCTCACTTTCCCTTCCAGTCCTTTCCCTATCCTCCCACCCGTCCATTTCCAGGTTTACTTAATTAGAATCAGGATGTCATGCTTCTTCCCAAAGGAGTTGAGTTGCACAGTATGTTCACATTTTGCAAAACCAAAGTAGTGAGTCCCTAAGAGGAATTTCAGACCAGAAGGGAGCTATATAAGAGTAAGGGGAATAAAACTCATCAAGTGGAAGTAGATGGTGTTTCCCAGAATCAGAGACTTTCTTGGCATTGGCCATTAGGGTCCAGGTGCAGCCGATTTGGTCTCAAAGCTTTGTGACTGATCTTGGAGTGACTCACAAATCTAGGTCAGATCATAGGTCATTGGGATGCTTTGATTCAATCTAGAAGCAAATCATCTCAGATCATCACAAAAATAAAACCTGATCAGAACTATATGGGAAAAAGCAGGGTCATTATCTTGCCCTAGGACTACAGATGCAGTTTTTTATATATATCTCAGGATCTAAACTTTGCTGCCAGAGTTGTTATGGAGTAGTGAATAGAGTGTGAAAGCTGAAGTCCTGGTAGCCAAATAGTTCTTAACCTTATTCAGTCACAAGCTCTTTTATAATCAGATGAAAATTTAGTCCTCTCCTGCAGAAAAATGGCCACACGCATAAACACAAGTGGTTCACAAAGACCATCCAGAGGCTTCATAAATCAGCATCTTTGAATCCCTGATCTAACCTAGTCCTCTTTACAAATAAACCTAGAGAGGAAGGGACTTTTCCAAGGTCACACAGTTTAGGAGAATAAAACTCAAAAAGTTTTCTGATTCCTAGTCAAGAAGTCTTTGTAATGGGATATTTCTCACAGGCTACTCAAATTGCATTGCTAAACTATTCAGTGGCCCCAATCCCAGTCAAATAGTCTTCATAATGGACTATTTCTGCTCAGACTACATTGCAAAACTGTATTTGGTGATCCCCAAATACCTTCAATAAAGAGATTTTAAGAAAGAAAACCTCAGATTGGTGAGGTTGAATGGGTGTGGCTAATTGTAAAATAATGCATATTAGAGTTTTTGAGTGTTTTAATATGCCCCAACTCTTCTTGCGGACTAGCCAGACCCTTGTGATTTCAGAATGTAAATCTTGGGCTCACTAAATTTTGGCAAGTAGAACAAAAATCCCTCAAATTCATCTTTTGCCTTCTTGGTCAAATATGTCTACATTCTTTATGCCTGCAAGTATCCCATGTAGAAGAGATTAATGGAGCCGATATTATTTCAGCTTTCATAGTGAAAAATCCAGAAAGGGTGAGGGTCACACCACAAGTATGTGGTGCAGCCAAGAGCTTAGCCCTGGTTTCTGGACCACCAACTTCTGCATATTTTTACCAGTTGATTCTGTGGTCCTCACACCTTGGTTCCTAACTGCAGATGCAAAAAAAGAGAGAGAGAAAGAAGGAAGGAAGAAAAAGAAAGAAAGAGAAAGGAAAAGGAAGGAAGGAAGGAAAGGAAAGAAAGAGAAAAAAAAGAGAAAGAAAGAAAGAAAAAGAAAAATGTAGTTGGGCAGATAGATGGATATATGGGCCTACCCCAGACCAAATAAATCAGAATCTCTGAAAATGAGGCCAGGTTTGGGAACCACTGCTCTACCCTGCATTGGCAGAAGCGAACCTACATCCAGTGAGTTAACCATTTTTACCATCTGGGGAGGCAGTTTTGTGTAATGGGATGAGGAAGGTAATTTTTTTGCTTGAATTTGAGCTTTTGAGTCAGCCATACCTGTATCCAGATTTGATATTTGCCCTGTTGCTAGTAACTATCTTCTAGGCTAATCACAAAGATAAATAATACATGCAGGACCTAAATAAGTTACTTTTCTTTCCTGTTTTCTCTATCATCTCTGAATTCATTGGTCTGCGAAGCAGGAATTTCTGGGTTCTCAATCTTGTGACTGGAAAGAAGTCATTTGAGGGGGCCTGCAAGATGCTCCCACACTCTGTACTTTTCCAAAATAGGGAGAGAGCAAGAAGCAGTTGCCCTGGTCCATCCTTGTAAACTGTACCTTCTGGCCTGCTTCATGGGAATTTGAGTGCTTTTGAAAGAGTTATTCAGTAGTGCATACGATTATGGGCTTGTGAATGCTCCTATTTTTGCCTCAAGGTTCCCCTTGCTGCCATGAGAAGCCTTCAGAGGTTCCAGGGCTCAGAAATATGATTTGGAAGATTGCCGAAGGTGTTTCCAGGCATAGTGTCTCCTCTAGGATCCAGGAAACATAGGAAAGACCCCATGGGACTGGGAGGCTTTGCACCTAACATCTCTGGGCTAGCAAGACTATGCTGTGGGGTGGAGCTGGAAAAGTGGGACATATGATTTCAGCTGCCAATCACCTTATTACTTGTCCTGCCTTGGGGAAGAAGTCCAGTGGTTATGATGCAGGACAGGGCAGATTTTCCCGAGTAAGTGGAGCTCAAGCCCTGTACCGAGAGTTCTTGGCTGAGCACAAGAAAGAATTCAAGCGCACACCAGAGTTAGAGTCAAAAGGAAAGTTTACTAGAGAAAGAGTAATGCTTCATAAACAGCGCAGTCTCCTCTCAGAGGCAGAGAGTGAGAGAGGCTGGGAGAGACTCAGGGACAGAGGGGGGTGGGGGGACAGAGTAAAGACACCGAGAGGACTGAGAAAAAGACTGAGAGGGACCCAGAGTATTCAGGGAATGACATTCTTCCTTTCTGTGAATTGCAGTTTAAAGATTTCGTTTACCCATTTTCCTTTGATGGTATAGACATACAGTGAGAAAGGATAAAAGTATGCGGTGTGAAAGGCCTGCTGGCAATTCCCAGCCTTTGATCCATAGGTTCCCCATGCTTTTAGCCATAGAGAATGAATGATTTTATTTTGCATAGGACACCACTTAAGGACTCTTTTTCTGTTTCCCCTTCACCGGTCTGGGTAAATGGTTTGTTAGCAATCCCAGCAGAAATCTTTGTTCTGCAGGTTTCCTCCTGGTATGGCTGTAGGGCTGATCAGTGTATTGCAGTCTCTGAATATGGCTTGATTTAACATTTAAAATGTTTTCCTGCCTCCTCCCTACATTTGTCGGTCTCCAGAAACTCTGTGGAGATATTGCCAACAGGTTTTGGTCATCTCCCGTTTTTCTTTCCCTTCTCCTCTTGGGCGGGGATCGCTTCTGAACTCCTGGAACCTGAAGGGATAGCTCTGGCAGTAATGTTTCCTCCACCTATACTTGAGGCAAGGCTGAGGCCGACTCCCTGGCTTGGGGGAGGTGGCATCCTATGCTGTTTATTCAACAGCTGCTCTAGCCTGAGTCAGAGGGCTCCAGATGGGGCTTGTGTGTGGTCCCAGGCTGTGGGGAGACCAGGGAGTTAAGTGGGTGAGAGAAGCTTTTCCCAACTCCCAGAAGATAAGTCATTAGGCCCAGACCAATGTTCTATCCTAAGTTCCTTGTAAGCAGGGGTTTCAGTGACATCTCTGACTATGTTCCTATGCTGGAGCTTCTGAGAAAGGGGAATGGCAGAGGAGGGAGCTGGATCAATGATGTGGGTGCTGAGACAGAACAGGTCCAGTTTCTCAGGGCCTTGAGTCCTGGTTTCTACTTTCCCAGGACAGCTGGAGCCTTTTGAAAATTGGGGAAGGAACATATGCAAAAGGAATGGAGAGCCTTGTGTTCATGACTCAGAGATGAGGGTGGGAGCCTTGTCGAGAGGATGACCTTGTGATGAGAGGGAACAAGTCAAAGCTGGAGGCAGAACTTTGAGATGGGGGGTGTCAGAGGGGCTTTTCTGAAATGTGAAAATGAGTACATGGGCAGATTTTGCAACACCACCCAGCCTGCTGTCTGCTCAAGTCTGCTCCCCAACCCCCACCTGTTCCCCTGCCCCGCCCTGTGCTTCCTCCCATCTTTCACCAAGCTTCTGTTTTATTTCTGCTTTTCCCATCCTTATCCCATCCTGCTTCCCCGCAC